TAAAGTTTCTATCTAACAAGGAATAAACTTGTCTAGGGCAATCTAATAATGTCACAGATCAAATCTAGCAAGCAGACCTTACTAAATAAAGATTTTTTTTGGCACAGACTTGTGTAGTGCTGAGAGTAGTGCTCAGTAGCAAGCACAAACCATCCTGAGGCTAAAAAGACAGAAAGCAGGCCTTTATGAGATGATTGCATCTCACATTGGGCTCTGCTTGAAGTAACAGGCAGAAGTGGGATCAGACGCTCACCCTGTAATTGAGCATTTACCCATGATGCTGTGTGGAAATCCTTTTTTTTTTCAACTGATGCTGCTACTTTGAATAAACCTGCAGAGTCTGGGCCAGAGCTGGAAGGTTTATTTTCATGGAGGCGACTGCTGTAGTCACAGTAGTCATTTGCCCGTCTGTACACGTACACGGCAGACTTTAGCTCTCCTGAAACTGAATGCAGCTTACAGTTTAAAGAATTGACTTGAGTGAGAATCTGCAATAATGCTTTGGATAAGTTTCTCAGCCTATTTGATGGTCTGTAATGTAAAAGATGAAACCCAAACTGTTCCCCATGTATGTAGTTATTCCCAATGAACTGTAGCCCACTACTGCACATATTCAGTTTGTTGTTTTTTACTGTCATCCAAATGTTAACAGAGAATTATTATACCCTATATAATGGAGTCAATCTTCCAATTTGAAGAGGAATGTGTACAATAAATGGCCACTAATTGGAGTAAACTGCCATCATGCAACAAAAAAAGAGGGAAAGTGAAATCTAAATCACTTGCCTTGCGCCTAGAGTGGTCATACTCTTGTTAGTCCATAACATAGATTTCACTTCACAGCAAAAACAGAGTTAAAACACACATTTTTAGGATTTAAAAAAACCATTGCCTTATATCCAGTGCCTTAAGAAATACATATGACCATACTAAAAGTGGTTAATGGGGATCCATATATCCCTATATACTGTATATATAAGAGAATGCAACATGATGCTTTTTGAATATGTTAAACACACTTCCAAAGCTTTCTGTTTTTGGAATATTTCTTTCATCTAATTCGAACCTGTTATATCAGCAGTGCTTTAACATTCTACATTGCAAATGTAAATATACTGCATCATCTTAAAAGTATCAGAAAATATTATTATCATTAATGTTAAGTAAATAAGCACATTTAAAGTTTGAAGATGCTTAAAGACAAACAGCATTACTGCTCGCCTTTGCACTTGATTACAGCCATTCAGAAATTTAAAGATATACTGTGCAGTGACTGATTTTAATTTACATTACTGTACAATTTTCCACATCATACCCTGTAATTTGTCTGAAGCAGGTGGGCCTACAATGGGCTTCCACCTAAACAAAGCATGAAAATTCTTGTGCTTAAACCTGTAATTGAGAATAATTAACAAACGTCATAATCGCCTGGAACAAAGACTTATCACCAAGTAATAGTGGCCTTATTGCAAATTGGCAGTCAGGCAGCAAGTCAAAGGAGATATTATAGTTTTCAAAAAAAAAAAAAAAAGAGGAAAAACTTATAAATACCCCCTGGCACCTTAAAAAAGTCGAAGAAAGACCTTCAGGCACTAAGTGATAGAAAGCAGTGAGAGACAGAGTGAGAGATAGTCGGAGAAGGGGTTTGGCTTTGTTGAGTGTGGAACAGCAAAGGCTCTGAAGACGTACAAGTAGAAACACGTGGACAGCAAAGGCAATGCTACGTGTTGCTGGCTATAGCTCAGAGGCTTGCTGTGGAATGCACAGTTTAGGCCTGTTTAGTTGCATCGCAAGCTCTGTGACATCTTAATGCTGAATGGAACAAAAATACATCTCCAAAATACATCTCCTTTTAAATGAATTTTTTAGTTTGAGTTGCCGTGAGGCGTGTGAGTGCTCGGATAGCCCCCCAAAAATAAGTATAGGTCTTATTTCAAATCACAGCTGTTTGACCTAGGCCCTACGGATACGCCGCATAGCTTTTAACAAACACAATCTTTTTTTTCCCCAAACACCCTCGGTTTCTGTTCACAAATGCCTGTCCTTGTGAGGCCTGTTAGTTTTCATTAAAGAAAACAGTTGCAGAATTCTAATTATTAAGATGCAAGACATAAAAACTTTGCAGCTGCAACTATGAAGACACCTTTTCCCACAATTTATTACATCTTGGGCTCATGAAGTTCAACAAGCTGCCAGTGACAAACGTGGAATTTCCTCCCTTGAGTCGACAAAGCACGGTGGCTGCAATTCAATTCTTTTTCACTCCCTCTGTTGTGATAAAAAAAGACCGTCTTACATGGGAGGATTTCAAGCTGTTACCTGTGTTGGCAGAAAAGAGAGTTTGTGTTGTTTCAGCTTCTCTTAACAGCAGTGTCATTTAATTATTTATTTTTTTCTCAAACATCTTATCTTACAGTGAGAAAAAACATCTAGCTTCAAGCTGCACTGCTAGAATACTTGAAGGCAGCTAAAATGCCATAAAATCACTCTGAGCGCTTCCACCCAAACCACCAGTCTGGACTCTATATATTATAGATTGCAGCAACTTGAGTCCAAGGCAAACACTAGAAAATTACCAGTTCTATTTAAACACTGTCCTGTGAGCTTCAACTTCATTTCACTCTTTGAAAGTGCTGCCTTAAAGATTTATCATAAATCTAACCTGATTCACATCATATTTCACATTCAGAAAATTTCAAATGATGACATTTTTCAGTTGTATTTTCTAGGTTAGAATCACAGAGGCAGCACACAGGCACAAAGCTTATCAAATGAATTTCCTCTCAGACTAACAGCAGGACTTCCCTATTTTCATTTACAACCCCTGGAAAGCATTCCCACACTAAAAGTCTTGAAGCTCCTTCAGTGCACATTCAAAATTGTCACTTGGAGCCATTTCTAATTCATGATTTATTTATATGCTGCACAAATTACTCTGTTGTCTCGTACAGTATTCTCATTTATGTCACAAATCAGTATCTTTGACCTCAGAAAGCCAGTGGATGTTGCACAAATGCATAACATAAGCTGTAACTTAGGAGAACAAACAACCTTCTGGGATTAAAAAAGAGAAAACTTTTAGGTTGGCTCTGAAAGTAAAATTGACCGCTGTATGTTTATTAGCAGGTGTTTGAGTGCATAACCTGATTTCAATACACAAGGAACAAATTCTATAAAAGATCTGTTTACTTGATACAAAATCACTAAACAATCCCCCCTCAATCATCCAGACGGCTGAATAAATGTAAAAACAGTGAAGATTTATGCAACCTGACAATTTATCTAATGCTGTCTTCATGTAAATATGCACTTCTTCAGAGTAGCATTAAAAATATTGATTGCTTAAGTAATGCTTCTGTAAATATTCAAGATGATTTTTATTCTGTTTACGGCAGCGTCGCTAGCTTGTATGAAACTACAATTTAAGTTTGTTTTTGAGGCAGATACTATGAAGTAGCCTAACTGTGAATAGGAAAACATACAAAAGTTTAAAATTTCAGGTGTAATAAATTACCATAGGAACAATTCTTTACAATAGCTGACATGATGGTTTTGGGCCTTGTTTGTACTATTATGTTGTTTTTATGTTTTTCTTCTGTCTTTATTGCTCCAGGTAGAATGATAAATATTGTATAGTATATAGCCGTAGGATTTACCTTCACTGCAGTATGCATTGTACTTTTTATGTTGGTATGAGGTTTTTTAAAATTAAAAGATTTCCTTTAATTTTGAGATGACAAAACTGAAAAAAAATTATTTTCCCCCAATGCTGAATCGACTATCTAACATGCCTTTTTCCTCTTTTGATCAGTTCCTGATGGAGTCTCATACATCATCATTGTATCGTCAATATTGTTTCTTATATCTTCACTGTTTCCACTTAATGGAGGACAAGATAGCTTGAATGTAAAAAAACAAAACTCAAAAAAGATGAAGCAGAAAGAGGCAGAGTAAATGAAAGGTCAGATTGGGCCACACTGTAGTTGCAGAAGCTGCAACGTGTCCACAGTTAAAGCAGACTGCTTTGTGGACTTGCCAGATTTTTTTTCTCGCTCTCTCTTTCCCTCCTTCTCCATCTCTAACATCATGGGATGTCCTATGTTTTTGGGGAATGGGAGCTTTTGAAACAGAAACATGGATGTTTTCAAACTGTGTCAATCTTTCTTATTGGTTTTGCTAATGCCAACAAAACACCAAATCTGTAAGCAATGTTATTGGTGATTGAGGAAGAGTTAAGATAATTAGGGGAAACATAATGGGTTATAATATGTTAATATTTTGTGAAGGCATCAAACTTGCAGTTACTTATACTTGTAACTGGATTTAATAAATCTATGTAAAATACTTTATTTGAATATGAACACATATGTTCTGTACACACAGAACACTGGTGTAATCTGCAATGTCCTGCAGATGCTTGATACTCGAAAGTGTTTAGGCCCCAAGAATAAAGAAATGGACCATAAGACCATAAAATGAATTCTTTTCAGCTTAAGTTTGAATAAATTTACTTGAATTGAATACATTTACATATACATACACAAAATGTTTCTCTACAAACATGTCAGGAGTCCCAAAATATCCTGTTTAATCTTGTTACTCTTCGTGCGTAAATTACGCAAACTTCTCTTCGACTGAATTCCTCAAACATTGCGTTGAACCCTTTACATATATAAAATAAATAAATTAAATAAAACTCCCGTCATGAAATAAAACTGTGAAAAAGAACTCAACTTCCTGCACATCTGAAAGCAAACAGCTGCTCAGTATATCGATGAACACGGGAAAGACAAAACGCCTCAACACGAGTGTCAATTAAGAAAATCCACGGAGCGTTAAGAAGATAAAACACGTCTGCGCGGTGGAGAGCCTGCGTGTAAATGATGCCTTTCCTCATCATCCACGTTTGAGCTGAAACGTGAACTTGTTTGACATGTTCTAAGACGGCCCATCTCTCTGATGAAGGAGGGCCTCTGACTTGAACATGTACAAGTTATCTGCTGCGCACAGGACCTCCCCAAAAGTTTAGGCATATAAAAGCCAAGTTAACTCATTTGTTTAGGCAGTAGGGAGTTTCTGCTAGGGTCTGGATTGGAGTTACACACAGACCGGACCCTACCGTGTATGAGTGGTGTCTGAGGAGATAGAGGATTCCCCTTTTCCGCAAAGAATCTACATGTCTAATATTTAGACATGTTCAGCTTTGTGGATATTCGGTTAGCGCTTTTGCTCAGCGCAACAGTGCTTTTGGCGAGAGGTCAAGGCGAGGATGATAGTAAGTATCACTTTCAAACATTGATTTGAGTTGTTTTTGGAGCGTTGGCACCCTCAGGATGTGGATAGCCAGCAAAGGATGCTGAGCAGTTTGCTGGAGCTGATCGTCCTCTGCGGGATACCCGACTCCAGTGGGCAGACATGGTGAAAGTTGTTACACAGTGAGGCGCTTTGGTGGTTTCTTTGGAGACTTGGAAGCGAGTAGGAATTTATAGACTGGATTTTTTCCATTATTGACTGCTCCTTTCACTGGCATGCAGATACATGCTCAGTGTGCGTCCTCCTGCTGGAGTGCAAACCTGAAGGGAGCAACTGCATTGTGTCTGATGCGCAGTGACAGGACAATGGTTCCATGAGATCTGAAGCAAATTTAGATAGGCGAATGAGTCTGATAAAACAAATCGTTTATATCTGTTTTGTCTGGAAAGCAGTCTTCTCTAGTTTTATAAGTTTGCATTCTAGCTGATAAGCATGCGTCAAAGCCTGTAAGACTTGATCTTTAATCAACAGTTCACCAAAAACGCATCAAGAGAGAGCAGACAGAATTAATTTTGGTAATCAAGTGTGAGAAATTACTGTTTCAGTTGAAAAGGCAAAACTTCATGTCTAATATCTAAGAAGCACACCGAATTAAACGTTTTTTCAGGCTGGGTAAAACTGGACACGGTTACCTGAAAAAAAGCGAGAATGGAAAAATCGCTTAAGTCTGACGTCGACCGTTAAAAACGCCAGTCTAGACGTCAATTAATCACCAAAGCAGCCTGGGCGCGGAAGGTGGTTTTTTTGCAGGGTAACAGCGCCGCTTTGTGGCAAATACTGGAACTGTGCATTCATCCTCCCATTTCTCTGGCCCAACCTCATATCCACTGCCTGACATCTGCGTAGGCCCCACGAAAGTTTCCGTTCAGCGTTATAATCAAATGTTTCAGGAGGGAACATCTACGTAGGACAGTTGGACAAGACCATTACTACCCCTTATCTCTCTGCAGCCAGAATTTCTATATTTGACCGGCTCAAATTATATGTAGTTCCTGTAGATGTGCGTGGATGTTAGACTTTATTATATGCTCCTTTCCTGATCACACATCAGTCACCAAACACACAGTTTTCTAAGGTCAATAACAGCCCACAGTTTTTATATAAAATATGCCAGCTTTGTGTTTGTGTTATTTAGAGTCTGGTCTACGTGGTACTAGCTCCCTTGATCTCTTATATGAATTTGACACAGTCTTTAAGCAAAAGCCCATCCACCATAATGTACACCTGTGCAGGTGTAGCAATTCCAAACTATCCAATCTAAACACAAATTAGTTGTACTAACTTCTAGAACTTATATTCTCATCACATTATCGCCTAACTCATCGTGATTTTCTTGTCTCAGGAACATTTGGCAGCTGCACATTAGATGGACAGTTGTACAACGACAAGGATGTATGGAAACCAGAACCCTGCCAGATCTGCGTCTGCGACAGCGGAACCGTCATGTGCGACGAGGTGATCTGTGAGGACACATCCGACTGCGCCGATCCCATTATTCCAGACGGAGAGTGCTGCCCTATCTGCCCTGATGGTACTGCTCACCAATTCCGAGCTTTATTTAGCTTTTTGGCACCACCCACTTTCCCTTTTGCTCCATCTTTGACCAGCCATGGCTTTCTGCCCTCAAAAGGACTCAATGCCCTTGGCCTTCCTGCCTGCCTATCTGCCTGCTTGTTTAAGGATTTTTCATTCAGAACCGAATCATTTTGGATTACGTTTTGATCCCTAAATTTTTAAATGTGAATTCTTTTAACAATGGATTATCCCTGCTCTTTGGCAAAGTTTGGCAATGATTATATAATTTCCCATTCAGTCCACATATGCAGTGAAAGTATAGGGTTCTGCTGAACTTATACCTACTTTCCTATTTTTTCCACTGCAAAAATTACTTAGCAGTAACGTTTTAGATTGGGTTGGATTTGATAATTATGAGAAATCCAGCATTTCATGGATGATTCAGCCTTCACTCACAAATAACTACAGAAAACTTATTGCTTACAGTTACCCATCACTTTCGCCTTTTCCATTATCTTTAAATATGAATAAATGTGTCTCCTATGAACATTAAAGAGGTGCTGACATTTTTTTTTCTGTTTGTTTCCAGTTCAAGATTATCCTGAGGTACCTTTCCCTTTTGATGATGATTATTTTTATTAGTCTTATTATTATTATATCTAATTATTTTGTATATGAATTAGCATAACTCCAGTTTTCTGTCTGTCCATAGCCAACTTCCGAAGGACCCATTGGCCCCAAGGGAGACCCGGTAGGTGCTGCATTATTTAAATTATTAAAAACATTCATACTATTGAAGACATCTTCTGTTTGTCTGTCAGTACAAGTGACAGATAAGTTTTTTACATATATATAAAACACACACACACTAACACATATATATATATTATATATAATATAATATATATATATATATACTAGTATATATATATATATATATATATATATATAATATATATATATAAATAATATATATATATATATATATATATTATATTATATATATATACACACACTTATATATATAATGATTGCTTTAATACAAACCTGGCCATTTGTCTGTTTAAAACTGACAAAGGGTCTGTTATCTCTTTCAGAAATATGGTTTTCTTCTGAAATTTGTTGAAACAAAGATGGTTGCTTTTTGCTGTTCTCATGAGACATAATAATATTTTATTCAGCTTTAGTTCCAAATCACCATAATTGGTGCATAACAGGTGGCTGGTTGTGTTTGTTTTTAGAAGGAGGATGTTTTGTTTCCTATATTCTTGACTAGCTAAAAATGTCAAAATAGACACAATCACTATGCATCAGCTAAGTGAGCCCTCACAAACTGATTTGATGAACTGATTTTCTGATGAAGCTGCTTGTTACTGATGACCTTTGATAATTAGGTCAGAAGGTCAAAAGGTCATTGCAAACTTCACAAGTGATTAAAGACAAATTGGAGGAGGAGGAGAAACATTAGGGCCAACTTTGAAGCTTTTTTAAGTACTTAAAACTACATCTACATCACTTCTTTATATTGTAAGACCCTTTATATTTGCTATTAAGCTTTGTGAAATTAAGAAAAATAATTGAAATAACTAGCCCTGAATATTGCTAATTAATCTTTTTCCCCAGGGTCCTCCTGGTTATCCCGGCGGTAATGGAATCCCTGGCGATCCTGGCCCACCTGGCCCCCCTGGCCCCCCTGGCCCCCCTGGCCTTGGCGGAGTAAGTATCATCGCATCAGAACATCCAAGACAGGGACTGAGTTTTGTTGATGACAAATGAGACCCATCTCATTCTTCCATGTTACTTCTGCCATCTGGCATGGATTGTCTTCAGTTCTATACTGAACGCCAATTTAATAATCAAGGTGCTGAAGATTTCACTTCAAAGCTGGGACAGTTCCTCCATGTGTATTTCAGCACTGAGAGTACTGACAGCTCCCTTCTCCTCACATTAATGTCTCAAAGTGAAGAGTGCTCGAAGTTTATCTAGTGACCTGAACTGATACATAAAAGGATTCTTACTATTTTAAAATCTCCATGTTTGAATAGATCACATTGATTTCCATACAGAACATCCTATTCCTACCTTAGAAAACGAGTCTTTACACTATAGGGTGTGTGTTAGCAAGTGACTATGTAACATACAACAGTGACCTAACAGTAGGGGGGAAGATGGTGTGCTGTGCAAAGTTTGTCATGCTCTTCTATTGTCTTCCACTACAGTAACTGTACCTTGAGGTGTTTGGTGATTAACTCTTTATGTGCTCCTCCCACAGAACTTCTCTCCTCAATATTCTGACCCCTCAAAATCTAGTGGCCCACCTGTTCCTGGCCCAATAGTAAGTAGGTTTTATCTCTCTCAAAATACCCTCATTTGATAATTATGTATAGGTGCAAGTATTTATTGGCTTCTTCTCTGCCTTCGTCAATAGGGTCCTATGGGTCCCCGTGGTCCTCCTGGATCTTCCGGCCCCCCTGTAAGTATTTCTCTATTAAATAAACGGTAGTCCAAGTATTCCATGCATTTGTAAAACCATGCAATTACAATAGGCCAGAGATTTCTTCCCTACATGTTTTCTTGCTTTAGATGTAAAACAGGAAAATGAATACTTTAAAGAAGCTATTACACTGAAATGTTTCTCTCGTTGTCCCTCAGGGTCCTCAGGGTTTCACTGGACCTCCTGGAGAGCCTGGTGAGCCCGGAGCTTCTGTGAGTATACATGACGTTCTACTAAACCTCTACCTTCCCTTGTTTTGTCTGTTCCTTTTTCCAGTTCGAGCTAGTGTAAAAGTCGGTTGTGAACCCCAGAAAGTCTTTAGACAGAATACTTCCTGTATTCATTCTACTTCCTGTTTTAATCACTGACCTACTGACACATATCACTTTTTTCATGCCAACCAATTCCCTGTGCTGTACCTAGAGCAGCACAGAGCATATTCAGACACTTGCTTAAAATAGTCAGCAGTGTGTTTTGCTAATCCAGTAATTTATTGGTGTTTTTAGGGTCCAATGGGTTCTCGTGGTCCTGCTGGTCCCCCTGGAAAGAACGGAGATGATGTAAGTGATCTATTGAGAATTTTATTTCATGTCTATGCTTGTTTGCTGGGACACTTCATACAGAAATTTCATGCCTAGCTAACTGGGACACATAACTAATATTGGTTCACTTAAAATAGTGAATATGCTATTCTTTTAAATGTGTTGAGGTCTGTAATTGCTTTTGTTGATTGTGTGTTTGCACGAGCTTACTTCATATCCCTCATCGCGTCTTTGTGTGTTTACAACAGGGTGAGGCTGGCAAACCTGGACGCCCCGGTGAGCGCGGAGCTGCTGGACCTCAGGTGAGTGGTTACCACTAGGGCAAAGGTCAGGAGATGGTAGGCCAAAAATGAAACCTAAACGGAGAAAAGCTGTTATTCAGCATGTATGTAGGGACAAACAAGTTGTTGTGAAATATATTCATTTCCACATATTTATCCATTATGTTCAGTTTTCCAGGCCTCATTGTGCTAACTTCCAAATGCAGTCGAAGTTATTCACATCGTTCTTCTTTTTCTCATCTAGGGTGCTCGTGGATTCCCTGGCACCCCTGGACTTCCAGGCATCAAGGGACACAGAGTGAGTCTGAATAGTAATAAAAAGAAAAAAAAATCACTTTTAAACAGTTATGAGTGGTGATTGAGTTTAAAATGCTCGCTAATTTTCTTTGTAGGGCTTCAGCGGTCTAGATGGAGCCAAGGGAGACTCTGGACCTGCTGGCCCTAAGGTAAGATTTCACAATGATTGCATTTCATTGTGAAATGATATTAATCTGCATCTTTATAAAACCACAATTTAAAGCTGATCTCTTGTCTTTTTCCTGTATTTGTTTACAGGGAGAGCCTGGCGCTTCTGGTGAGAATGGTATCCCCGGTGCCATGGTATGTTTTTGCTCCCATTAATCAAGTTGTTGACATATGAATCATTTTAAGGATTAAACACTGTTTTGTAATAACAGTTCAGATTAGATGCAGCACTGCCATTTTTTCCAACGCATATCTTCAAAAACTAGGCCAAACCTTCTTGTGACCTTGGTTTGTTTTTGTCTTTTCTAGGGTGCTCGTGGTCTTCCCGGAGAGAGAGGCCGCCCTGGAGCTCCCGGCCCTGCTGTAAGCACTTTTCCGCTCCTTAGTCACTTATTAAAAGACCCATAATTACTACTGAAAAACAACACAAAAGCTGGAAGATTGTTGTGTTCTTGTCTCATGTTTCGTGTCTTACTATTGGTTGGATCTGAAAATATTTGATGTAATCTCTTCTCTCCTCTGCAGGGTGCTCGTGGTAATGATGGCAACACCGGTCCTGCTGGTCCTCCTGTAAGTACTGAATTTTGCATTGCTCATTTCAAATTCATTCGAGACTATAATTTAGATCTGTTCGCAAAATGCTTTAGTAAGAGATTCATAGCATAAACGAAGGGATTCTTCCTCAGCTTTCCAATCAATTTATTACAATGTTTGTGGCTCAGCATTGTGTCTTAATATGCTCTATATTAAATTTCAGGGACCTACTGGATCTGCTGGCCCCTCTGGATTCCCTGGCGGTGCTGGTGCTAAGGTAAGTCACCCAAAAGAGTTCAAGAGTACATATGATATCATAATAGCTTTCCTGATTGACCTTTATATTTATAACCATTAGATAATGGTGACAGTAAAGCTCTCTCAAGTCTAATCTCAAAATTTAGGTAGCCAAGGAAAGCTTTGGAGAACCATGACAATATTTTAGCTTATTATCCCCTTAATCCCTCACTAGGTGTCTCATCAACTCCCCAATTATTAGTAGCTTATTAGTAGAACATTACGAGCAAACTTCCTGGTAAGAATCGTGTAGAAGCTACATACATCTAACTCAAGAAACACAGAATTTCCCAAAATGAGAAATTTGTGTCCAATGTCATGCATCTCTCCTCTCCCATGAGAAAGGTCTCGGCTTAACCCACTTCAATCTTTTCTTACACATCTGGTCTGTAAAGCTCTTTGAATGCCTAAAGCTTCTTGGCACTGGTCAGATTTCACCCTCAGGCCATTTGAATTACAATATACTCCAAGGTTAGCATGGATTGTAGCCTATTTCCCAAGCAGTAAAATTGCTAATAGCGTATTTAGCCTAATACTCTATACTTCAGGTGAACAGTCTAACCACCAGATGGCATCAGTAGGCTTCTAATGGCACGTTAATCTCTGGTGCCTCTCCTTCCTGATGCCATTACCGAAGGAGCTATTTTAAATATCCTGTAACTTTCACCTACTATGATGTCACAAATTCCTGGTTTATTTTAGGAATAAAGAGGAGGAGAATAAAAAAAACAGTCATGATGACAGAACAATCATGCAGTTTGAAGTTTCTTTCTAGATAAATCACTTTAGGATTATTGTGGGGACAGTTATGTCTCTAAAAACACACATTATTTGTGCTCAAATTCCTTCATAAATAATATTGTTAGGTGCATGTGTTACGCTCAAAATACATTTTATTTTCCACTTGTATAGCTAAGAGCAATACACCATAGCTTTGATAGAAAATTGCCTGTCTTTTGAGTGATATTTAGTGTGTATATAATATTTAATCTTTAAATTATGTTTCTGATGTTCAGTGTGGTCTCCTTCTCCTTTATCAGAGCACAGACATAATATTGGCGGTGCAGATTTATGAAATATTTTTGTCTTTGTGCACAGGGAGAGACTGGTGCTCCAGGAGGCCGTGGATCTGAGGGACCCCAGGGAGCACGTGGTGAGCCTGGTAACCCCGGACCTGCTGGACCCGCTGGACCTGCTGTGAGTAGATGCTCAACTTACACATACCATCATGTCTATCTCAGATGTTATAATAAAAAAACACTGAACAATTTCAACATTTTATATTATTCCTCTTTTAACAGGGTGCTCCTGGATCTGATGGTTCCGCTGGCTCTAAGGGTGCTCCTGTAAGTATCATTTACAATGATTACATTTATTCCATTTCAGTCCTGCACATGAAGTATGCTTACACCCCACATTTTCCATCTGTAGGGTGCTGCTGGTATTGCTGGTGCTCCTGGCTTCCCCGGTAGTCGTGGTCCTGCTGGAGCTCAGGGAGCTGTTGGTTCTCCTGGCCCTAAGGGTAACAATGTGCGTTGGCAATTGATTTAGTGTTTTTTAATGTTTTTGTCAGTATTTTATAGATCCTAGATTACCTGATAGCTAAATAAAATGTGTATGCTTCTGCCAACAGGGTGACCCTGGTCCCTCTGGTCCTAAGGGAGAGCCTGGTGCCAAGGGAGAGCCTGTAAGTTTCAAAATACAATGATCCTGAACAGTTTCCACTGCATCTTGCCAAGATAATAAATTCATGCTTGGTTTAATGAAATTTCCTTTCTTTTGCAGGGACCCGCTGGAGTTCAGGGACTTGCTGGCCCCTCTGGTGAGGAGGGAAAGAGAGGAGCTCGTGGAGAGCCTGGTGGTGCTGGACCCCGTGGACCCCCTGGAGAGCGTGTATGTTTGTCCCTCTTTATCTTCGATCATGTAAAATTGTGTGCCTTATGGAAAACAGCATTAAAATGGCCAACACTTTCTCACCATCACTCCTTATGTTTTAATTGAAAATGTCCATGTTGAAACCCTTTGATTTCTTTTTCTACAAAGTGTTCTGAAATTGCAGTGTGCTAAATTCCCACGGGGATTCATCTTAGTAGTTGGAGCCCAGCACCTACTTCCCTTTTAATGACTTGGTCGGTGTCTCTGTTCTTCCATTAGGGTGCCCCTGGTGCTCGTGGTTTCCCTGGTGCTGATGGAGGTGCTGGTGGCAAGGTGAGTTAGTCAACTAAAATCACTTAGCCACCTTACTCCAACTTATTCAAACCTATCAGAATAGCTAAACAAGCCATTACTGATCATTTAAGTCATAAATTGTATCCAGTATCACAGCTTCTAGATCTTTTATTAACTTATATTACAGGGTGCCCCAGGTGAGCGTGGTTCCCCTGGCCCAATGGGAGCTCAGGGAGTCACTGGTGAGTCTGGAAGCCCTGGTGCTCCTGGTGCCCCTGGACTGAAGGTTAGCACGACGATGTACTTCTTCAAATGCAACATTTCTGTGATGTTTTGGTCATGAATTTTACACATTAACTGTTCTCCTCAGGGTATGACTGGTAGCCCTGGAAGCCCTGGACCTGATGGCAAAGCTGGACCTGCTGTAAGTATTGAGCATCAAATAAACATATGTTATATGTTACATCACTCTTAGAACTTCATCTTTTGTTTTTTTTTTTTTTATATCTAGGGTTCTCCTGGACAAGATGGTCGCCCTGGACCTCCTGGCCCCGGTGGATCCAGAGGACAGCCTGGAGTTATGGGATTCCCCGGACCCAAGGGAGCTTCTGTGAGTTTACAGAGCTTTTCTGCTCATTGTCTTTCCAGATGTCATGGATGTGATTTTTCTTTTTAGCCCATAGAAATTAGTTTAAATATAAATAATAGAGCAGAATTTCCCCATGTGGCAGATATAAATATGCACTTATTTCTTTTTACTAGGGTGATGGTGGTAAACCTGGTGAGAGAGGTGCAACTGGACCTGCTGGCGCTGTTGTAAGTAATTATACTTTTCCCACTTAAACAGTCACTTAAAACAAGTTCCACCATTAAAGACTGTATATATTAATATAATAGTGGAAACAGAGTGTAACAGTCGAGCATTTGGCTGTTTTTAATCACAGGGTGCTCCAGGCAAAGATGGTGATGTTGGTGCTCCTGGACCTTCTGGCCCCGGTGTATGTATCTTATCTGCATTATTAAACAGAAATTATGTTTGCATAGCATTTGAGTAGTTTGATGTATCAGAGGACAGAAGCCATAGTTGTATCTTTTATGTGGCTGACATGGATGCTTATGGTGAATCAGAGTTTGCATTGTATCATTTTGTTCTTGTCTTTTTGTTTAGGGACCTGCTGGAGAGAAAGGAGAGCAGGGACCCGCTGGACCTCCTGGATTCCAGGTGGGCTTTAGACATTATTCCAACAGTCACAGCACTCTCATATCTATTGTTGTGTTATGACGTCAGTTGATAACCCTAAAACATTGTACCTTTCATCCGTGTGCAGGGACTTCCTGGACCCCAAGGTTCTACTGGTGAGACTGGCAAGCCTGGTGAGCAGGTATGTAGTCAGTTACAAAGGACACACTAGAACCAGCTTTCCCCCCTTCTGTCTTCATGTTGACACAGTAAGTCAGACGTCATAACCCTCTCCCTTCTCCTTCTTTTATTCAGGGTGCTCCTGGTGAGGCAGGACCTTCTGGCCCATTTGGACCAAGAGTGAGTATCCCCTCTGTTGCAGAAGCAAAACATTTTCAGCTCCTGTGGTAGACATCAACTGACTGGCAAAACATTTTGTGGCTGATGAGTTCCTTCTTTCCTTCAGGGTGACAGAGGATTTCCTGGTGAGCGTGGTGGAATTGGCATTGCTGGCCCAACTGGACCCCGTGGTGCTCCTGGACCCGCTGGTAACGATGGACCTAAGGTAGGTCAGAAAAACGTCTAAACGATGAAGAAACTTTACTGATTTGGCATTTGAGATTCCTTTTTTTTTCTTGCTGTGTGTCAAATCCAGTCCATTTTTTGAAATGGCACAGAAATAAAATTGAAAAATCTACCTGATGTCAAGTTGTAAACCACCAAAAACTTTACTCAGGTATGTTTCTACTCCCAGCTTTTCTCAGAAAACAAGGAGAGCAAACTATTCAGTATTTCTGCCCTTTGTTTTTAAGTTCTTCTTTTATAGTATAAACCAGCCTGCCTGGACATTTAAACGACACATTCATTAAAAATCAGATGTTCAGAGTGGATATGGCACCAAGAATAATCATATTTATATAAAGACTTAAAAGTAGCAAGCAAGTTATTTATGTTGCAAAGGAACTGTAAGGTTTTCAGTTCAGAAATGTTTGTCACAGTCCTATTTATTTGCATTTTAAAGATAGAGGACATATTTTTCAACCCAGACCTCACCTGGATCGCATATAAAAATGATCTAGTGTTTGTAGCTGCTGTGCAACACTATTAAACCATCACAAAACTCATATGTTAAAAACACACTCCTGTATATCGTAGATTAGTTTGCAGGTCTGTTTTTGTCACTACATATTTGATTGGTAGATCCTTATGCAGGGTTCCTGTTGCAGCCCCAATCTTCTCCTGGGATTAAACTAGGGATCTTTTGCTTGTTAGGTAAAGGTGTAACCCGCCACACTATAAAGCCAATAGATTTTACCTCCTCTGTACTTGTAAAAAGGTGATTTTAGCATTTTGTATGTATATTCTTTCATTTCAAGAATAAACAATAATATATTTAGAGCATATAGAGCAAGCTTTCTGCTTCAACATGTTGTCATTAGTCTATGGCTTCACATGCTTAAGGTTTAAAGAAACTGCTAAACATAAATGTGTACAAGCAAAACAGTAGCAGTAAAGGTGTTTTTTTCATCAACAGGTGACTTTGTGGACAATTTATATTTGCTTTTATGACAGAAACAACCTGAGCTTCAGATTCAACAGAGAGCAATATCAGAGATCCAGAAAAACACATTAACACCCATCACCTGGTGGTAATCAGCCTGTAATGTCACGCCTGTAAAGATAATTCTTCACTTTAGTTTTGCAGGTTTGAGTGCAAAACGAATTAACCCATGAGTTAGAGAAACTAGAAAATGCTGCAAAACAACAAATGTCTCAAGACTAAAATCACTGGGCATTGGTGCAAATAACTAAAATAAGATTTAGGACCAGCAAAATTCTCCTTTTCCTAAACTCATTGTGCTTATCATAACAGAAACAAATCTACCAACATGGTTCATTTGTTGAGCTCCAGTGACCTGTATTAGCTGGATAACAATGTGAGTCTTCCTGTTTTTGTGTGTACCCAGGGAGAGCCTGGTGCTGCCGGTGCCCCCGGTGGTTTGGGATCCCCCGGTATGCAGGGAATGCCTGGTGAACGTGGAGCCGCTGGTCTCCCCGGTGCCAGAGGAGAGAATGTGAGTATCACACCAATCCCATTCGTATAAAGAAAAAGGCGTGCACAGTTCGATTTTCTCATCATTAAATTTTTTTAAGCTCAGTGAAGATAAAATATCTTATGTATTATACCTGTTATATCATGTGAAATCTTATATCATGTTTTCCCAATATTTAATAAAGATTTAATTACTCTAGAAATGTTGTAATGATTCAAATAACTGTAGCTGTGTAATTTTTATATCAACACAAGTAACTTTTTGTAACCTTTCTCTTTTTAGGGTGAGGCTGGTGGCAAGGGAGCTGATGGTGCCCCTGGCAAAGATGGCCCACGTGGTCTGACCGGTCCTATTGGAGTCCCCGGACCTCCTGGTGCTCAGGGTGAGAAGGTGAGATTGGACAAAAAATTGGTTTTGGCCTTCAAATATTAGCTGTTCGAGTTTAACAATTTTACAGGACCTTTTCTTCATTCAATTTTCATGTCTGGAGTGAAATTTGTTAGTAGTCTTACAACATTTTTACCCACACTTACAGTATGCATAAGTCAATGTCATAATTATATGAAACATGATGAATAGCATGCCACATTAATGCAATATTAAAAGATAATAAGACCAACCACGAGTTAAATAGAAATTCAGTGCATAACTTAATTTTGGCTTTAATGTGGTTTATCTGCAAGTGTCATTGATCATAAAATATGTGATTGGGATTAGCAACCAATGTGCCTACTGACCTCCTTTTTTCTCCTTCACCTCTGGTTTTAGGGTGAGCCTGGTGCTGTTGGAGTTGCTGGACCTAGTGGTCCTCGTGGTTCCCCTGTAAGTTCTTTTCTAAACTCAAAATCAGATTAAAACCTGGGGGAAAACAATCAAAATATTTATAACTCTGATATGCACATTATTATGACTGAATGACCTTTCTTTATTACTTCAACAGGGTGACCGTGGTGAGCACGGACCTCCTGGAGCTGCCGGATTTGCTGGACCTCCTGTAAGCCCCTTTTTTTTTTCACTAATTTAGATGCTTAAAAAAAAGTCTAATTTGTTGACTTTGGATGACATGTGAGATGCAAAAAAAGCCATGCATTGATGCATTTCTTCTTTTCATCTCCAACCTCAGGGTGCTGATGGTCAGCCTGGTGCTAAGGGCGAGAGTGGTGACAGTGGACCCAAGGGAGATGCTGGTCCTCCTGGACCTACCGGACCTGCTGGAGCTGCTGGTCCTCAGGTAGATTGACCTTCATTGTGATTTGTAGTATACATCTGGTGAATATATAGTAAATGGAATAGAATAAATGGAATAAAATGTTCTGGGGGGTTTTGCACCATAGATTGATTATTGTGTTCATAAGAAATTGTATATACTGTTTACATAAACATTCATATTTTTCCTATTTTAATTAGCATTGTTGGTATTAGATGCCTCACTTGCAAATATTTCCGTCAACAGGGACCTGCTGGAGCTCCTGGACCCAAAGGTGCTCGTGGTAGTGTTGGTTCCCCTGTAAGTATTCATTCATATTTTTCTTTTGACACTCTGACTTACAAACTCAATGAGATTATTTGTAGTTACAGTTACTTATGTGTTTTAAAGCTTCATTGATCACGTATTTGGTTTGGTTGTGTGTCTTGCTAGGGTGCTACTGGTTTCCCTGGACCTGCTGGAAGAGTTGGACCCCCTGGCCCTGCTGTGAGTTTCTGATCATTTTTAGTGCGATCTATCTATGTTATATTGTAACAGTGATCGGTGATTTTTATGTTACCATAACATTGTGTGTTGTTTCCAGGGAGCTGCTGGAGCCCCTGGACCCGGAGGACCTACTGGCAAAGATGGAGCAAGGGGAGCTCGTGGTGAGACTGGCCCTGCTGGCCGCCCTGGTGAGGCTGGTGCTGCTGGACCCCCAGGACCTAGTGGCGAGAAAGGATCTGCTGGTTCTGATGGAGCCCCTGTAAGTCACTGTTACCCTTTTGGTCCATAATAGATATTCTATGTATTTTTAGAAATCTAAAACATAACTAACCATTATTTCCTTATGTGCAGGGTACCCCTGGTATCCCTGGACCCCAAGGTATTGGTGGACCTCGTGGTATTGTAGGTCTCCCTGGACAGCGGGGAGAGCGTGGTTTCAGTGGTCTGCCTGGACCATCTGTGAGTTTGTGTCTGAAATCCTTTATGTCTGCTTATATAGGGGGTTCTGTGTAGGGGACAATACAGTGAGCTCAACCAGAAGATGAAAAAAAAAACTTAGACTACTTGGTTCATTTTCTTGACTCTGTTAATTACATCACTTAAAACATGACAGATCAAAGCAACAGCATGCATTTGTTGTGATAAACACACATTATATATAATACACTTTCCCATTAAATTATTAGGTCAAATATATTTTGGAGTCTATATTGTCATGCTCTGCCCTTTTGACCTGTAACCTTCAGCATTTGTTTGGACACAACTTTTTGTAATGCATTGTCGAATACTGAGGCTAAAGGAATAATAACTAGTACTGCAAAGCGCAAACTCACTATGAAATATATAATTAGTAGCAAAGAAATTTGGACACATACAATGTTAAATAAACCATCCTTGTGTAAGGACATGGCAATATTACAATATTCCTTGGGAAATATTCCACAGTTTTCCTTTTGTCCATCTGACATCACACAGACTAAAGGTGAAAGACCAGCTAATATCTGATTTGATCACATTGGACATTTGGGTTCTCATATGCGTCTCTCTCTCTGGGTGGTGCTTAGAAAGGTTCAGCTCTGCAAAGAGCATCCACAGGAATCTAGAGGACTGACTTCTTATGCACTTTCTTTAGGGTGAGCCTGGAAAGCAGGGACCATCTGGACCTGTCGGTGAGCGCGGACCCCCTGGACCTGCTGGACCCCCTGGACTGTCTGGTCCAACTGGAGAGGCTGGCCGTGAGGTAAGAAGTCCCTTTTTTCTGTATTTTAACCATTAATTGGGCTAATCGGGCTACTCAGGTAGTACAATTAAAAATGCACTCACAATTCCCACAAATTCAGTTTCGCTGGCGAACATCTTTACTGCTTTACTTCCACAGGGATCTCCTGGTCATGATGGTGCACCTGGTCGTGATGGTCCTTCCGGCCCTAAGGTAACCCTATTTAACTTGGCTAATTTGATAATATTGACATGCATGAAACTATCTTCTCACTGGAAATGTGCACTCATAGGGAGACCGTGGTGAGACTGGCTTGGGTGGTCCCCCTGGACCTCCTGGTGCTCCTGGAGCTCCTGGAGGAGTTGGCCCCTCTGGCAAAACTGGTGACCGTGGAGAGAGTGTAAGTCCACTTTGTAGCTACCTTGAGCACATTTAAACAAAATTAACACACTTGTGATTTTTTCTGAATTCATATGTTCATATCTTTCTTTCCTTTAGGGTCCCTCTGGTCCTGCTGGTCCCTCTGGCCCTGCTGGTGCTCGTGGTCCTTCTGTACGTTTTTCATTGTATAATATGTATTATTATATGAAACATAAATTTTACATATTCAAGAAGACTGATTACTGTCTAATGATGAGATGGCATCTGGATCTTCTTTTTCTTTTATTCAGGGTCCAGCTGGTGCTAAGGGAGACAGAGGAGAGGCTGGTGAAGCTGGAGAGAGAGGCCACAAGGGACACAGAGGATTCACTGGTGCATCTGGTCTGCCCGGACCTTCTGTGAGTAACAGTTACCACATTAGCACTTTGGAAGAAATAAAAACTTTGTGCTGATAGCTGCATTTATCCTGTTACCCACAGCTGGATTTGCATTTAAGGTTCAGGTGGATATTTACTGGAGTTTATTAAGGTCTTATAAACAGTTGCTAGTTACATCCATCATCAAGTTTTATAAAATACAACATTAATCAGTCTCACTTTTTAAAATTGACTTATGGACTTATTAAACTTGATTTTATCACATTTTCTATATTCTACTATATTTTGTTATACCATAGTTCATGTTAGCATCCTCATCTGTCTCTAGGGACCCCCTGGAGAGAGAGGCCCTGCTGGTGCTTCTGGACCCGCTGGACCTAGAGTAAGTACTACTGTTAACAGACACAAAACTTTCTTTATTTAAAGTTTTCCTTCAAATTTGTCAATCAGTTCAAGGCAAAAGGTGATCATTTGGTTTTCCTCCACAGGGACCTTCTGGATCAAACGGTGCCTCTGGTAAGGATGGTGTGAACGGTTTGCCTGGACCCATTGGACCTCCTGGACCTCGTGGTCGCAATGGAGAGATGGGACCTGCTGTAAGTTGAGCAATTATCATTACTTTATCCATATTCTTACACCTTCAGACAAGTTAAGCAACCCCTGGTGTCTCAAAACAGGGACCTCCTGGACCTCCCGGACCTGCTGGACCTCCTGGACCTCCCGGCAGTGGAATTGAGTTCATCAGCCAGCCTGTTCAGGAGAAGGCCCCTGATCCCCTGCGTGGTGGCCACTACCGCGCTGATGATCCTAATGTCATGCGCGATCGTGACATGGAGGTTGACACCACCCTTAAGACCCTGACACAGAAGGTCGAGAAGATCCGCAGCCCAGACGGTACCCAGAAGAGCCCAGCCCGCATGTGCCGTGATCTGAGGATGTGCCACCCTGAGTGGAAGAGCGGTGAGGGCAGATCAATTCTCTGACACAGCCTTTAGATAAAGTATAACACGAGGGTGAGCTCAGCGTGAGACTTTCTTTTTTTGATGTCCCTGTATTACAGGCATGTACTGGATTGATCCCAACCAGGGCTCTCCTCTGGATGCCGTCAAGGTCCACTGCAACATGGAGACTGGTGAGACTTGTGTCTACCCCAGCGAGTCCACCATCCCCATGAAGAACTGGTACCTCAGCAAGAACATCAGAGAGAAGAAGCACGTCTGGTTCAGCGAGTCCATGACCGGTGGATTCCAGGTGAGAAAACAGAGCAAATGAACAAACCTGGACAGTATTCATGCTTTACTATTAGGCCTGTGACACTATGCGTGCTTCTCTTCTCTCCGTCACGCAGTTCCAGTATGGCAGCGATGGAGCTGATCTCGAGGATGTCAACATCCAGATGACTTTCATGCGCCTGATGTCTAACCAGGCCTCTCAGAACGTTACATACCACTGCAAGAACAGCATCGCCTACATGGATTCTGCCACCGGCAACCTGAAGAAGGCTCTGCTTCTCCAGGGATCCAACGACGTCGAGATCAGAGCGGAGGGCAACAGCCGCTTCACATACAGTGTCAGCGAGGATGGCTGCACGGTGAGTTTGCTCTCTCTTTGCCCCAGGGCTAAACTTACACAGGATCCAAGTATAAGAAAAGAGAAACTAATCTCTTACAATGTCTCCTTTCTGTTTCTCTCTACAGTCACACACTGGCACATGGGGCAAGACAGTCATTGACTACAAGACATCAAAAACATCCCGCCTGCCCATCATTGACATTGCTCCTATGGATGTTGGTGCACCTGATCAGGAATTTGGCGTCCAAGTTGGCCCTGTTTGCTTCTTGTAAAAATGAAAGAAATATGGACATGACATTGTTGTTTTTTTTTCTAGCAGTCATCTCTAAATCCTCTTTCTATGCATTCATTTGGCTGCCATTGGTCCACATGCTTAAAACCACTCTACTGAAGACAGTGTTTGTGTCTTTCCAATCATGAGAAGTTTTTTTTGGGACTGCTACTTCAAACGAAACCAACTACGAGGACACTTTAAAAAGAATCTTTTGTTTTCACTGGCAACAAGAAAATAATATATGCTTGTGTAAAATTTCCCCCCGGAGATTAAGACAAACAAAAAAAACAACAACCCAGATCTGCACACGCAATGAAACACAGGTGACTTTTGCCATTTTCTACCACTGCAGAAGGACATTGAAAACAACAAATGATATGTACCATTTTTCTGGTGTTAAATAAATTGTAAAAAGTGTGAAGTGTCTTCTTGTTCTAAATTAATGAGAAAAACACCTGAACGCTGAGCAGACAAAGCAAACACCAGCAAAAGAGCAAGACTAAAAAGCTCACCTTCATTGCAAAATCTAGATGGCTACCTCATAACAAGACATCACCCCCACTTTTTGCTATGTCACACACCACAAGTCTATTGGGGGAACACTAAAACCATTCAAAGGTGCTATTACCGATTCAATGAGGTCCAGCTAGTGGTGTTTGATGGTGAAACTCACACTGTCGTACTGGAATCATTGCCACTTAATCCCTGCAGAACCTTTGGTGCTACTAAATTGACTCCTTGTCTTGTTGTCTATGCAGTGCAATTGTTTTCTTCTTAAGTGTTGGTTTGATAACAGAGGTCCTCTGAAAAAGTGATCACTGCAATTGTATTGCATGCAAATATGTCTGGTTCAATATCATTTTCCCTGCCCATGTGTTCAGTGTTGATCTTTCTGTCTGTTTGCCCCTGTGGAAAACTCCTCTTTACTAAAAAAACAAAAACCAAACAGCACACATCTCCCACCCTGTTGTTTATGTTGTTTGTTGATGTCTTTCTTGCGAAGGGTTTCTTAAAAAAGAATTTGAAGCAGACCCACTTTCATGGTTTAAAAGAGAGATTCTGTACTTATTTTGTACATGTATAATAAATCAAGATGTTTTTAATTATTTTGGGTGCTGAAATAAAGCATGTGAAGTGGTCTACTCAGTGGCAGAGTTTTCACTGTCCTGTTTTGCAACTGTTGTGAAACTGAGGTTTTAGAGAAGATAGCTCACGCTGAAGCTGTTTTTTGGGATTTTTTTTAGAGAGCTAGGTCTCTGGCCGAGAGATACAGAAGCAATTTTGTCCATGTGTTTAGCAATCAACTGTTCCACAACAGTTGCACTGACTACTTTTTGTTAAGCAGCAGTGAAAACAAGGCCAATATACCAAACTCTAGCCTTTTTTTGTGCCTAAAAAAGTTATTGGCTCCTTAGCTAAATTTCTTAAGAAACCAAACCTAAAATACTGCAAAATGCAGTTTGAATTATCAGTGAAGCAGCCGTAGTTGTTTCCTTGTCACACTGAAAAACAAGGAGCTAACTTTGCAGAAATGAATGCTTGTCTCAGAAGAGAAAACGCCCATACCAAATGAAGATACACCACCAGCGACTCCTTCTGGATGTCTAATGCAACAACGGCTGCTTCCTGCAGGCAAAGCACAGAAGCAAACTGGAATGAAAATTACTGCTGCAGTGCACTGCAAAGCTGCTATTATTTGCAGGCTTCATAGGCTTTCATCCTTCAAAACCAGATAAAAGCTGCAACCCTTTAAGAAGAGGGTGAACCTCTTTTTGATCCAGCCATAAGTGATGAATGATCTGTAAACTGTTGAACTGATCTCCTCTTCATAGTTTGCTTTGTCACTAGACAATTTACTGGCAAAACTGATTAGTGGTTCATACTGTCACAGCCCAACTCACCGAATGTGACGAGGTGATGATGATGAGGATGATGAGGTGACTTAGAAAACAGATATTTATAGATAAAAACAACATCACTCGTGTAAAGCCGGTCAGGATAAGAAGCAAACAAAAGAAAGAAAACAAAACAAAATCATGCTGTGAATAAAGAACATCACAGCTTACTTGCATAGCAGAGACAACCCACATGTATCTCTCTGCTCACGGCCACTTTGTTAGGGTTCAACTGCTCATTAACACAAATATCTAATCACCCAATCACTTGGCAGAAACTCACCGCATTTAGGACATGGTGAAATAAATGCCCTTCAACTCAAGCAGATTAGGTAAGAAAGGCTATTTCAGTGACTTTGAATGTGGCATGGTTGTTGGTGCCAGACTGGCTGGTCGGAGTATTTCAGAAACTGCTTATATGCTGGGATTTTCCCAGCTTTCCCAGGGTTTACAGAGAATGTTTAAAAAGAGAAAGTGGTGAATGGCTGGACTGCTTTTTGCTGATAGGAAGGCAACAATAGCTCAAATACTTGTTACAATCACGTTCAAAGAGCATATTTGAACAAGAAATATGTTGAACCTTGAGGCCGATGGGCTACAGCAGCAGAAGACCACACCCCAGGTGCCGATCTTGTCAGGTAAGAACAGGAAAGTGAAGCTACAATTAAAATGGAATCACCAGAATAGGTCAGTAGAAGAGTGGAAACATATCGCCTGGAATGAGCTCCATTTCCAACTAATCACTGTTTAGATGCCAGAGCCCATCTGAGTATTGTTGGTGACCATGCTGATCCCGTTATGACCCCAGTGTCTTCCAGCAGGATATCACACACCATGTCACAGTTGCTCTGATCTCCTCAAACTGATTTCTTGAACATGACTTCATTGGTACTCAAACGGCCTCCACAGTTACCTGAACGTAATCCAAGAGAGCACCTTTGGGATGTAGACATTCACATCCTGGAAGTAAAGCCAACAAATCTGCAGCAACTGTGTGATGCTATCATGTTAACATGGATCCAAATCTCTGAGGAATATTTCCAGCACCTTGTTGAACCTATGCCATTAAGAACTGAGGCAGTTCTGAAGGCAAAAGGGACACCAAACCAGTATTATGAAGGTGTAACTAATAAAATGTCCAGTGAGTGTATACAAAACTATAGTAAGAAATAAGAATAAAAAAATATCCTGGTTTTTTTTTGTATATACAGCATACACACAGATCCAAATTAAACATACATTTGAGCTCATCTTTATCCTTTCTAGCTCCCTTAATGCTGCAGCTGCTGATTCTCTAAAGCAAAGTGTAAACAAAGCATTTCTACTTTGAGCTCATAAAGCAGAGCATGCGTGCTGCAGGTGCTGAATGCCAACTTTCAAACCCTACCTCTGCCTGACATCTACTGCATGTACAACCTGTGTTTAAAAGCATATCTAAACTGAAGCTGTCCCTTCTTATTTTTTATTGTATTACCACTAAAGAAGGATAAGATGAATATAAAGAATGGATATTGAGCATCTTTCAGGTCAGTCATAGAACATGCCAGAGTAAGAACATGATTTTTTGCTGGAATATAATAATACGCGAATGAATAATAATTCATATAATATACATTTTTAGCAGCCTGGGTTAATCAAATCAAATGGATTTCTTCCAAAGTTTGTCCAACTAGTCATCACATACCCTTTAAGAAATTAATAAATATAAACAAAATATTTTATGAACCAAAGAAATATTTAATCCACAAAACATGCTTCAGTGTTTATAAAAATGACCTATGTATTAGTTTACAACGTGTGACAATAATTAGTTTGACAACATCTGAGCTATTAGTATACTATTCATTTACTTTAATGGAACCCAAACAGGAAGAAATTATAATATCCAAATGCAAATATAATCCACAAACTGTGTCTCAGAGAGGTTATTAATAATACTCCATGTGTTATATCTTATCCATCGCTGCTCTCACTTCCTGTAAACACACACAAAAAAATATTCTTAGAATAATCAGCAACTCCAAGCAGAATCAATGCGGTGGAGAATCCTGTGAATGGGCTTACCTGGGCAGTGTGTCACTGTATGGATCTCTACCAAGAGAGTAAGAAAATTAATACAATTAAAAACTACTTTATTTATTATGATTTATTACAACTGTTGGAGAATAACTCATGCAACACAGCAGTAATAGTGACACTAACTTCACCAACAGCAGATGGCAGGTGTGATGAGATGTTAGTACTTATTCTTTATATGCTATACTCTCATAAACAAAATACTTCAGATTGTAAACTGCTGGTCATACAAACATATTTGAGTATGTAGATTTTCATTTGCTAATTTGTGACGGCTGTTTGGTTACAATTTCTATTGAAATGGTGTTGATTCAAGGACACAAGAATGACTTTTGATGTAACTTATTATAAGCTTCATTTGTTTTACAATACTGAGCAAAAGACTTTAGTCACCCCTCATATACATACAGTATGTATTGCTTCTGAGGAGGAAGATGTTTTTGTAAATATTTAAAGTGATCTTTTTGGAAATCTAGCAAAGAACTTACACATGACCTGAAAGAAACAGCAGGTTTGGGGATGCGTTTCAACAAGTGGTGTTTGCAAAATTGAAAGAACTGAGAAAATAGAAAAGTGCTGTCAAATTTCCACCCTGCGATACTATTTGGAAAATGACAGGAGAAGCATACCTGATCAGAACAACCCAGTGCATCATCAGAGCAACATTAGAGTGGTGTTACATTAGGTTCTTATTGTGTACCTAATAGACTGGCAGCTCAGTGCACATAACTGATAGGAATTAATGGGTGTGGTGCTTACTGTTGGGCCATGATGAGTGGGATGCTGTCAGACTGCAGCGGGGAGGCCCTGTCTCCAGTCCGGCTGTTAAACATGGGCAGTGTGGAGAGGGGTGGAGGCACCCCTCTGTTTCCAGCCATGGTCCTCAGCTCGTCAGTGTTCTCATGGATGGTGTAGTGGTGGTACAGCTGAATTCTGCAGCACACATCACATACAGATTTTTTTTTCTGCAAGCTTGGAAATATTTTTGCTGCACTATATTTCAGATTCATTCTGTGAAATATCACTTATAATGCTGTCTTAGCTGACTGGTAGTAAAAAGTTAACCATCAGATCATGTTTTAAATTGAAAGACAACAATCAGGTTTCAAAATCTGTTATAAACAAAGTACTTACTGGTTTGTTCTTGCATTCCTTTTGCCACTATAGAAAAAGAGTAAAATATCCGTTTAATATTGGATCAATCAAAAGTCTAAATATGTTTAAATAGATTCCCATCCTTGGTGGAATTTATCCCACTTGGATGACTACATAAAATCCCAGTAGACGGAAGAGGGAAAAATATAGTTTGGCATCCAAAGCCTTTACATATTTATTCAGAGATTAGATTTAAAATTAGATGCATACATTCCTTCCCTTCTGCCAAACATGATGTAAGCCAGCAGCAGAAACAGGATGATGGCGAGGATCAGGGGCACAATCACTGTCACGATGTAGTCTGGGAAATAGTCTCTGTTTGGGGGAGACTCCAGAGGTTTGAAGTCCTCTCCAGCCTCCAAAATCCCTGAACCCATAGTGGGAGCAGGTGGCTTCGGCTTCATCTTTGTCAGATCAAACTGCAGGAGGAGGAAGAGCGTTAAAATGAAGCACAGAGCAGCAGATGAGATAAACAGCTTTATGCTGTTTGCTTCTGCTTAGTAGTTAATGAGACAAAATGAAATAATCAATTGAGGCTTTGATCATATATATTTATATATATGTTCCTTCTTGGGCGTGCATCTTTTCTGGCCTCACCAGCTCCGTCTTGCACCAGGTGATACAGTTGCTGGGATTTATGCAGAAGTGGCATTCTCCAGGGACTTTGATTTTGGCCTCTTCCTTGCACTGCTTTTTGTTCTCCGGTGTCAGCACCCTCAGGAGACATTTGGAGAAATACTCCTCTGACCCTACCTTCACATACACACTGTCACAAATCAAATTTGACTAAATATGCATTTTTTTCCAAAGCAAGTTCTGTTACAGCAGCAAACACGGTGCTAATAAAATACAACAAACTTAAGTAGTAGTACTAAAAAAAACATAATTTTAAATAAACCCAGTATGTATAAGAATGTACAGATCTAAGTTTACCCTTCAAAGTGCCCTGCAAGAGGGAGTGGAACTCTGCCACCACGATCGAGGGCGTTGGTGATGTTGATCATTTCCAGGGTCTCTGTGTCCCACAGCTTCTGCAAATCCTGCTTTATCTCATCCTGAACAGTAGAGGGCAGCACTTTTTCAATCTCTCTCAGCTTGATGAAGACTTCGACTTGATAGGGCAGAATCTTGTCTGTAAATACACCGGCGAGTTTCGACATTTGACACACCCTCATTCATTACAACTATCATTTTGGGACTTAAACGTAATGGGACGGATTCATCGCAAATACCTGGAACGACTTTGATTATGAGAAGGTGTCTGACTGTGTCATAGCTCCGCTGGTTGGTGGCATAAATCTGTCAGAATGAAATGTAATATTATTAAGATTATGACAGTTCATATGCATTCCAAGAGCACCTTTTGCAAAACTTAAATGTCCGCTTTTCCATTTGCTGTCAATTTCCCAGAGTGCCTTTAGCTGCTGTCTGCTCATTAGTGTATGAAAAACGTTTTTGCTTACAGTAACAAAAAGTATCTGTTTCAAAACCAATTCGTTATTATATATCTAGAGATATATTAATAATTTAAGACTTACACTAAAACGAAAATAAAGAAAATAAAGCGGTGAAGATTAGTTTAATATCTTACATTTTCTGCTGTATAGCTGCTTAATACTTTATGTTCACTGTTCTGTAAAAAGAAAAGCGAAAAAAAACAAAAACAGGATGAACTGTTTAAACAAAAGCAAAAAATTAATGCACTTAAAAAATGGCGTGTAGTTTGTTACAATGGGAAAAGTTTTGAATCAGAATACAGCTGTGTTCTGTGTTTACACCAAAAATTTAGCATGTTTTCTAACTGAAATAAATTCTGTTTGGTTGAGACTAAAGTGTTACTTCTGACATTTGTATCTCTTCTTCTTCAAAGACAGCTTACTTCCTGAATTTTTAATGTTGGTTCAAAATAGCAGCTGAAGAGAAGAGGCCCAAGGCTTTTGTCTCTGGGGATTTGACAACAAATCCTGACAGCTGTTTTTGATAGCCGCATATTTTTCATATTTGTCTCCACTGTAGCTGCGCTGGAATGTTATCTTTGTTTGGCCTACCATCACGACAGAAGAATGTGCAAAAGTAAGGCCAGAGGTGAATGTTAGATGTGCAGCATGGAAGAATATTGTGCCAATGTTGGTGTAAATGATGATTTCACACCTCAATTATACTTTTTCCTGGAGACATTGGTGTGCCATACAAGAAGCCGTTGTCATAGGGGTTCCTTTGGGTGAAGCGCAACCACTCTGGGAGGTCTGGGAAATTCTGTTTGTTGCACTTAAATATTATGGGGTCGTTGTACAATATGCCTGATTTGCAAAACACAAAAAGAGCAGAGAAAAACAGCGTTAACACATGTGGATGTCTTATCCTTTTAACTGAATTTAGATCATTCTGTCTCACCGTAGACTTTGCCCAAAGGTTCAAAGTCGTTCTGGAAAGTCTCTCTAAACAGTTCATGTGTAAAAAACTTCCCCACAGGAATGGTAACTTTGATGTCAGAACTGGCCTCAAACAAACTGGCAGAACACACTGTGTGGAAGTGTAAAAAAACACACACACCAGACAGTTTATAAGAAGGGTCAAAAAAGGCAAACAAAACCTTAAATCTGACATTAAAAAATGACAACACACACATCCTGATGCTAGAATTCTACGCACAGTCCTTAAAAGCTGATATCAAGGGCGAGTGTTTTAACTAAATAACACAGAGTTGATAATTAATGTTGAGGAAGGTCAGCGAAAGTTGTTCTTTGATGAAGCTAAATAATTTTACGAGTGAACTTGCCTGTTAAAAAGAAGACCCAGCTCCCACAGCCTGCCATCTTGTTTTGGGTTTTGATTGACAGAACCAAGTGGAGAGGGGCTTGGTCACTGCAAAGGACATGTCAAAACTATTTTTGTCTCACTTACCTAATAACATCCGGAAGGGTGACTGTGAGTCTGTGAACAGTAGGCCTTCGAGGGACATTTATGTTCTTTTTGTTGATATACAGTCATATAAGTCATACACAGTCATCCATTTTTGCTCAGTACGTTCGCACATGTATCCACTTGCCTTTAGTAGTTTATATTTGCCTTATATTTCTCCACTGATATATTTAGGTCTCAAACACTGTTGTTGCAATAGTGCAATAGGCTAATGAAGCTTGGAGTGATTTTGCTACCTAATGTTCTAACACTTTAGGTATATTTATCAAAGTTTATTTTGTTTCTTTAATTTCAAAAAGTGTGTGATTAGATTTTCAATTCATATGAGGGCGATATGAGTAATAAAAAAACACCATTATTACCTTTCATTTTTTCTAGAAAATTTACACATTATTTTCTTACCGAGAAAATATATATAAATAAACTGAGTTTAATGCAAATTTAACTCAGCTCAGCTCGTTTTGGGATTTGAACCTTCTGATCAACCAGCATGTTACTGTGTGGAGTTTGGATGTTCATGCCTCTCCCTGTGGTTGCTCTGTCATAGACTAGCATCATATCCAGAGTGTACACCCCCTTTCACCCTCTATCAATTAGGATTGGTTTTACACCATGGGGCCAGTGGGCAGTTACATTTCCCAAGGGGGTCACATGAGAAACTGGGTGTGTTGTGGAGGTCCCTCACCAATGTGATAAAGAGGTAAAATTAATATAATTGACTTCAGCTTATTGGTGCTGCCCTCTAAACAGTCCCAGTTTCTCATGTGGCCCTTTGGGAAAATTAATTGCCCCCCTCTGCTCTAGACACCGCAAATGGAGAGAAAATTGATGAATTGATGTAATAAGGAGAAAGGACACTGGTATATAACTGAGTAACTTTAAAGCCACTTAATTGTGAATTCCTTTTTTTGAAGACCGTGTAAAACCTTTTAAAAAATATTTAAAAATGTTAGAAGAACGTAAAGGAAGGATTTTATGCTTAAAATGTTTACATAATGTCTTGAAGAGATTCCAACTGAAGCTGAACTAGGACATGGCTGTACTTTTGTGTAAAATACTATTTTTTTTTAAACCAAAAGTTGGTCAGTATATGCCTTACTTAACCAGGTAAAGCCCATGTTTTAGCATTCTTTTGCATGGGCATGTGCCTACACAGACCCTACGTGGAAGAGTATGCAATAAAAACAAACGAACAAAACAACAACAAAAGAGCACCCAGCTCATCATGGATCACGGATGGGGCTGTGCATAGGTTACATTGCCAGGTATCCTGTGATTTCACAGATCTGTTGTTTGTGACACTGCCCCCTGGTGACAGTAAACAGCTACAACATGCAGGCGACGGTCTGCAAACGAACGGTCTGTGTAACACCAGTGACTGTTCTACAGTCATAATGTGACACTCATGCAAAAGCACGAAAAAGACATGAGTCATTAAGAACACGTTGTATTTGTAGGGTGGTAAAAGGCAAAGTCTCTCATGGGAAATAGGGGTTGGGTTAAAAATGAATAAAAAGTTAAAAGTACAAAAGTACACAACTAAAAGCTTTTTAACACACTGGACAGAATTAAATATATTTTAAATATATTTTAATTTTATGTACTGAGTTTATTTGTGTCAATGTTTCTTCAGCTGGTCATTACTTTGCAAAACCCACCAGTAACACAGTCAGATGAGAACACTGGCTAGGTGGCACTACCGCCTTGTTTAACATCGCCTCAGCCATTTTTCAGTGACTAATATTCACCATGACAGTTAACCCATGTAAACAAGTACATTACACTCTTCTTGTCTATGTATTGAGGCAGCTGCATGAATGGGTCGGCCTTGCAGATAAAACAAAACAAACCCCAAACGACTTTTGAAACCGAGACTACGTGGGCAAGTTCAAAGCCTTCAAAAAAAAAGAAAAAAAAAGAAAAAAAAAGAAAAAGGAAATGCTTTGTCTACGCTCGGTAATAACGTTTAAAATATCTATCGGCGCAGATGTAGGATGCAGGAAGCAGCAATGTGTCCTGCAAATAACGGATGTGTTATTGGCCAAGGAGATTTGACGTGAGTGAGGTGTCACTGGGTCCTATCGCTGGTTGAACGAAAAAGACCGCGACTTCAGTTTTATTATTTTTCGTAACGAAACGGTAAGTATCCATATTTTATACTTTACAGATACATTTATTTAGTGTAAAAAGCTGCCTCTGGACTGCTTTATTAGGGATTTCCTTTTAGTGGAGGGGGAGGGGTTTAAAAAATACGAGAAAAAAAACATTCGGGGCGTCCGTCTTTTTTGTATAGTGTGCCACCACAGCCTCATTAGGTTAAAAAGAAATCATAATTTTTTTAAAATATATATTTTTAAATTATATGTTATGTTTTTTTTCTTCCTCTTCCTTAGAGTAGCATTGCGTATCGCTTCTTCCTTGGAATGACTGCTTTTTTGTAGCGGGAATGAAAACCACACCACTCACTGTAACATAGTAGCTATAATTAATGCACCTCCGCCAAATATTGTAAATGAAGATCGTATTCGTTTAATGGTCAAAGAATTAGGAGCAGACGGGCACTATGACCCATGCATTCCCCCCTCCATGCAGCAGCAGCAGTCTGCCGCTACGAGAGGACCAGAAATCTGCAGCTCACAGAATGAAGAGATCAAAATGATGCTGCCTCTAAAAAGGGATTAAACGTAAGCAATCTGTCGTCAGCTGCGGTAAATCCGCGGCTCATTACTCTTCTGTTTTTCTGTGCAAACATTTTCAGTAACTAATGCAATTATCTGAGAAGGTCAGGCTCGCATTGTTGTAACTACAAACGAGCTATTGACAGATGCATCGCGCTCACTTTCTCCGCTACACTAGACGAGAATTGCAGCGGATGCAGGCAGGCCTTTAATGCGATCTGTTGTTTTTGTTTCTCTCCATCTGCCGGTCTAGTCTGGGCGCCACCTCGCTGGGATCGGCTGCTGGTGGATAATACAGATTTGCCACCGGGAGTTGAGAAAGGAGACATGCCGTCGTTGAGCATCAGTTGCGACGCTTGACTGACCATGATGAAGACCGAATCCACATCCAAGAGCACCGGCTCTGGCTCCACGCTCAGGAGCCCATCCCCGCACAGGAACGCGTACGAGGCGGGGATGCAGGCCCTGAAGCCCGTTAAAGACAATGCTGCAAATGGGGACATGCAGGAGGGCCCCCGAGGGCGCAGGTACGGCTCTAATGTGCACCGTATCAAGAACATGTTCCAGCAGATGCAGACCACATCCCCGGCCGACGCAGAGGGTGAGGACAACGCCAGGATCGCCGACAAATCGGTGCGCCTTTCCCTGCCCAGAGCCGGTAGCCTGAACGAGAACGTGGATCACAGCGCGCTGCTGAAGCTCGGATCCACCGTGTCCGAGCGCGTCAGCAAGTTCGACACAAAACCGGAGAATGGGCACCAGCGGGCCTCCTCGCCCAGCTACTCCAAGCTACAGGAGACCCGCCGCATCTTTGAGGAGAAGCAGCAGCAGGAGAAACTGCAGCAGGAGAAGCTGCAGCAGGAGAAACTGCAGCAGGAGAAGCTGCAGCAGGAAAAACTGCAGCAGGAGAAGCTGGCTACAACCAGGGTGTTATTGAAGGCAGATAAGGCCTCTAGCTTTCAGGATGGCAGGTTGGATATGGTGGCCCGTTTTAATGGCAGCACAGAGTCCCTGGACAGCCTGGACACTAGTGAAGCAGTGTCCCCTACAGTCAGCCAGCTCAGTGCTGTGTTTGAACGGGCAGCCGAGCTCCGGAACAACCTCCACCGTCTCTCCTCTACACCACCACTCCCTTCCAGAGGGGTCAGCACCAAGGTAGGCGTGTTGAATTCCAAGATAATCACAAAGAGGGTCAGTGCCTTTGCATCAGGCAACCAAGGGGATGAGATAAGCATTCAGAAGGGACAGGAGACACCTCCAAGGGGCTCCAGAGGAAGGGTGACTCCTCCATCTGAAAGCGTTAATGGTGGCCAGTGTGCCCCAACTACTGAACTTTACAGTAATGTAGGAGAGCCGAATGAACAGAGAGAAAAGACCGTTTCAGATGCAGGTGTCGAGGCCAAAGTTGATGTTAAACCTGAGGAACACTCTGGGACCAGCGAGCCCAGCAGCACAATACTGCAAGGTGACATCCACATGTCGGTGCAGAATGGAGAAACTGCCTCAGAGAAGCGAAGCTCTCCAAAAAGTGCAGACATGGTCAGGCAGGATGGGGACAAAAATACAGAGGAGGAGGAAGACAGGACTCTCAGAGAAGAACAGTCGGGCCGGGACTCTGTGGATATCAGTACCTACAGTGCGGTGGGGGAGGACTTTGAAGGAAGCCAGAAGGATGAGGAGGAAGACGAGGGCGATGACCGCTATGAGCCAGAGTCCAGCTGTGTGGAGATTTCAGGGCTGCCTGTGGAAGAGGATCCACCCCCTTCAAGAAAGATTCGCTTCAGCGCAGAGCCCATCCAGGTGAGGAAATGTGAAGTGTAAAAACACCCTGAATTAACAGAAAGAACTGTAGCTAGAACATGGAGGTGTTTGCTGTCACATTGTACCCCCAGAACCTTGTTTATTAATCAGGCTTGTGTGCTGATTTCTGAATTGTAATTATGTTGTGGTGTGGGATTTTCTTTTCATCCTGTGTCTTTAGAGGCTTGTTGAACTTGACCTTAAAGCTTATCTGCTGTGTTACAGTCATAGCCAGTGCCACTGTCAGCTTTTTTAATGAACTCGCTCAGCCTCTGCCAGTGTCACACCAGTGCTGACATTTTGATTTTAGCCTGTTTCAACACAGGGCTTTGCACACTACTAACACCCTCCTCCCCAGCAGCCAGTTGCTAATGGATGGGCCTGCATTCCTACTGTGCAGCTGACATGGGCCCCAAAAGTGCCTCAACGTAGATACTGAAATGCAGCAGGAGCTGCTTTTGTAAATAATTGCCTTTTTT